GTTGTTGTTGTTTGCTTATGCCCATTAATAGGTTTTATGCTGAGCTCCAGCCTCGAACCAAAAACCACTCGCCTCCTCTCCAAACCAGCCCGCCAAAAAAGAAAAGAAACCACACTTGACTTTTGCATATCTCCCCGGTACTTTCCCTCTCGTTTGGTGTTCTTGAGGCGGGGTGGGAAAGCGTGCGAGTTCTTCCACCCCCTCACGGCACACGCGATTTTGAGTCGGCTATCAGAGACACGACGATCCGTCTTTCACTCCCCCCCTCCCTTTTTTTGTTTCCATTCGGCTTTTCTGGCTTCATAAAAATAATCGCGTGTTTATGTAGCGCGGTTTTATTCAACGCGACGCGGGTCGGGATGGCCTGATTGCTACAGCCACACACAGCAGCGCTGCAAAACCAAGCCAGACTAAACCTATCGCACGGCCGAGCTCCCGCAGCTCAAAAGCTGTCTCCGGGAATCTCCGACCGAAGTTCCTCTTTTCGTCCAGCCCGCCTCTTCTTGGCAACGCAGGTGGGGCTCGGAGGGAACAGCCCCTTTCTCTGCCATAGGAACGGAAGCGAGCGACGCTGCCCCCGCTTTCCTCCGCCCTGCGGCCCTCTCGCCTCGATTTTGTCCTGGCTCCCGTCAAAACACCAACTCCCCCTTCCCGAGAGACAGAGAGGCGGAGCGGGGAGGGGAGACATGGGGCTCGCGCGGCCCTTTGCCGTCTTGGCGCTCTTGGCTTTGACCTTCTGCGGTAGGCCTGCTACTGGCACGGAGGAACCGCAGCCTAAAGGTACCAGGGGAGGCGGTGGCGTGGGAAAGAAGAGCGTTTAGGCTCACATTCATGGAAGGGCCCCGGTCTCTGCAACGCGGCGGGGTGGAGCTTTGCATTCTAATCAGTGTTCCCTGGCTGGGGAAAGTGCAAAGGAGAAGGACGCAGCGGCGACTTCCTGGCATTGTTGGGCTTCTGGATGGGGTTTCCACCCACTCGCCCGCCCTTCCCGGCCCTGTGTTTCTCTTTTTGCCTTCTGGATAGCTGGAAAAGGGATGTGAAATGCAACAGAGCGTGAATCAGACAACGTATTTTGGCATGTTATTTCATAGGCGAGGTGGGGGAGAAAGGTGTTAAGGAGAAAATGTTTTGGTTTTAAATCTTGTGAAGCCAGTTATAGCAGCAAAAAAAGACATACAATATACCCCCCCTTTTATGTGTCAGCCCTATTCATATCTAAACAGTGGGGTTGACCTAATGTGTACATTAAAGGTGCACATCAGTGAAAGATGCTACACCACTTTACCTTCATCTGCGCAGTGGTTTCAGGCACTTCTCTCCAATCTCAGTTCCTGCAGGGTAGCAGCTGGGACTGGGGTGACTGACCACAGGCAGTTTGGAGGAGAGGACCCATCTATCCCAGCTCCCTCCTACTTTTAATAATAAGGGCCACCTCTTGCTTTATGGTTATTGTAAGTTATCATTTTGGTCAGATAGTCATACATGATTTACTTTCAGTGCCATCCTAAGCAGAGTTACAGCATTCTAAGCCTTCAACTGGCTCAGAATCATGCAACTCTCTTTAGGATCCTTTCAGAGGATAGCCATGTTGGTCTGCATTAGAAGAGGGAGGTTTGGGTTCACTAGCACTCTAGAGAGCAACATAGGCCCCGGTCACACGGGCCGGATATCGCGGGGGGTGGGGGAGGCATGACTAATTGCCCCAGCGCAGTTTGATCCACGATTACGCAATCAGACACACCGGCGGCATACCACGGGCGCCGGCACGCAAATGAGGGACCGGAGGGGAATGCCACACGCATGTCTGGAGGCAGCCCATGGCAAACGTTTACTAGTACCTTAGAGGTACTAGTTTTTTAACGCGCATTGTCAGCGGTAAGCCACGGGTGCGCTCCACTTCCCAGATGTTAGGGTGTGATCGGGCTGGGATAATCTGCCCACCATCCGTGCCTTTGCCGATGGGGCCATAATTTTCCAGGTAAAAGCTTTTCAGAGTCAAAGCTCAGATGATGAACAGAGCTTTGACTCTGGAAAGTTTATATCCTGAAAACGTTGCTGTTCTCTAACATGCCTACAGTTGCCAAACTCCAGGTGGTGGATGGAGATTTCCTGGGATTACAACTAATCCAAGCCATAGTGATCAGTTCACCTGGAGAAAATGGCTGCTTTGGAAGGAAATATATCCCAACTGAAGTCCCTTCCTTCCCCTCCCCTGGCTCCACCTCCACTCCCCAAATCTACAGGTATTTCCCAACCAAGACCTGGGCATTAGACTCACTCAAACCTAGTTCTTCTTAGGATGTCACCATTGCAGCGCTGTGGATCAACCGAGGAGGGGAAAAAATGGCCTAGTTTTTTTATTTGTTTTTTATTTTTGTTTTGCAGCGGGGGGAAGCCACAAAAAGCACAGGCAGACACACAGAGAACGTTGTGGTGCGGTTGTTGTTGTTTGCTTATGCCCATTAATAGGTTTTATGCTGAGCTCCAGCCTCGAACCAAAAACCACTCGCCTCCTCTCCAAACCAGCCCGCCAAAAAAGAAAAGAAACCACACTTGACTTTTGCATATCTCCCCGGTACTTTCCCTCTCGTTTGGTGTTTTTGAGGCGGGGTGGGAAAGCGTGCGAGTTCTTCCACCCCCTCACGGCACACGCGATTTTGAGTCGGCTATCAGAGACACGACGATCCGTCTTTCACTCCCCCCCTCCCTTTTTTTGTTTCCATTCGGCTTTTCTGGCTTCATAAAAATAATCGCGTGTTTATGTAGCGCGGTTTTATTCAACGCGACGCGGGTCGGGGCGGCCTGATTGCTACAGCCACACACAGCAGCGCTGCAAATCCAAGCCAGACTAAACCTATCGCACGGCCGAGCTCCCGCAGCTCAAAAGCTGTCTCCGGGAATCTCCGACCGAAGTTCCTCTTTTCGTCCAGCCCGCCTCTTCTTGGCAACGCAGGTGGGGCTCGGAGGGAACAGCCCCTTTCTCTGCCATAGGAACGGAAGCGAGCGACGCTGCCCCCGCTTTCCTCCGCCCTGCGGCCCTCTCGCCTCGATTTTGTCCTGGCTCCCGTCAAAACACCAACTCCCCCTTCCCGAGAGACAGAGAGGCGGAGCGGGGAGGGGAGACATGGGGCTCGCGCGGCCCTTTGCCGTCTTGGCGCTCTTGGCTTTGACCTTCTGCGGTAGGCCTGCTACTGGCACGGAGGAACCGCAGCCTAAAGGTACCAGGGGAGGCGGTGGCGTGGGAAAGAAGAGCGTTTAGGCTCACATTCATGGAAGGGCCCCGGTCTCTGCAACGCGGCGGGGTGGAGCTTTGCATTCTAATCAGTGTTCCCTGGCTGGGGAAAGTGCAAAGGAGAAGGACGCAGCGGCGACTTCCTGGCATTGTTGGGCTTCTGGATGGGGTTTCCACCCACTCGCCCGCCCTTCCCGGCCCTGTGTTTCTCTTTTTGCCTTCTGGATAGCTGGAAAAGGGATGTGAAATGCAACAGAGCGTGAATCAGACAACGTATTTTGGCATGTTATTTCATAGGCGAGGTGGGGGAGAAAGGTGTTAAGGAGAAAATGTTTTGGTTTTAAATCTTGTGAAGCCAGTTATAGCAGCAAAAAAAGACATACAATATACCCCCCCTTGCCTTTTTCTTGCCTTTAGTTTTCACGTCATTCCCCCCATCTTCTGGTGAAATCATTTGTTGTTCCTACAGATCTGCTTTAATAGTCTTAGCATTGTCATTTGCCCATTTCTGATGGAGGCAATCACTTGTGTATTTTATCTAGGCAGTTTATTATTCCACTTGTCTCCCTGTTTGGGACCTAAAGCAGTTTACAAACAAAGAAGTACAACCTAAGTAAACAATGTAAATGAATAATAAAAAGAGAATATACAATTCAGATAAAAATAATAAAAAAGCAAAAAGCCACATCCTAGGCAGATCCTGGATCTAGTTCATTCAGGGGTCATGGGCTGAGGTGAAGGGACCCTTTGCAGACCCAGGGTTTATATCTGAAGATTAGGAGGGAAAGAAAAGATCAGCCTTGATGTTATACATCTGGCAGGCAGCCTTGCTCCCAGGCTCTCCTCCCTTCAGAAGTTTGATCAGGGTTCCTGATTTCAATCAAAATGGAGAATGAGCTTCCAGGACAGACATTTTTGACACCACTAATTTGGTTCTGTCAGAGTTGTTCTCTTAAGGACAGTTTCTGTCAGAGCTCTCTCAGCCCCACCTACCTCATTGGGTGTCTGTTGTGGGGAGGGGAAGGGAAAGGAGTTTGTAAGCTGCTCTGAGACTCCGAGTGAAGGGTAGGGTATGAATTCAATCTCTTTGCCTTTTTCTTGCCTTTAGTTTTCACGTCATTCCCCCCATCTTCTGGTGAATTCATTTGTTTTTCCTACAGATCTGCTTTAATAGTCTTAGCATTGTCATTTGCCGATTTCTGATGGAGGCAATCACTTGTGTATTTTATCTAGGCAGTTTATTATTCCACTTGTCTCCCTGTTTGGGACCTAAAGCAGTTTACAGACAAAGAAGTACAACCTAAGTAAACAATGTAAATGAATAATAAAAAGAGAATATACAATTCAGATAAAAATAATAAAAAAGCAAAAAGCCACATCCTAGGCAGATCCTGGATCTAGTTCATTCAGGGGTCATGGGCTGAGGTGAAGGGACCCTTTGCAGACCCAGGGTTTATATCTGAAGATTAGGAGGGAAAGAAAAGATAAGCCTTGATGTTATACATCTGGCAGGCAGCCTTGCTCCCAGGCTCTCCTCCCTTCAGAAGTTTGATCAGGGTTCCTGATTTCAATCAAAATGGAGAATGAGCTTCCAGGACAGACATTTTTGCAACCACTAATGTGGTTCTGTCAGAGCTGTTCTCTTAAGGACAGTTCTGGAAAGAGCTCTCTCAGCCCCACCTACCTCATTGGGTGTCTGTTGTGGGGAGGGGAAGGGAAAGGAGTTTGTAAGCTGCTCTGAGACTCCGAGTGAAGGGTAGGGTATGAATTCAATCTCTTTTCTTCTTCTTCACCTATTGCTTATGACTGCAGGCAAGTGTTGTATGTATCAGGTTGTACTGCATGCAAGAAAAGGACCTTCTGGATGCCCAACGTAGGCTATTGGCATCCTAGGACGCTTACCTGAGAAGGCTGTAATAAGGGGGTTTCTGTGTTTGACATACAAGGATTTTGGAAAACAAATCAATACTAGTAGGGTTTTCTGATGGTAGACAATTTAAAGCCACATGGGGATGCATTATTTGGATTAGCCCAAAAACTTATTTTGCTGAATTGTGCAAGCTTCACCTTTGGGAACTGGGAGTCAACTTCAGTTTGCATCTGCTGTTGATGTTCTGTTCTAGAATATGAGACACAATGAGCTGTGAGCAAGACCCAAATCTTAACCTCTCCTAGAATTCATACAGCTCCTCCTTTATAAATATAGCTAGGAATAAGGCCCATTGTGCAAATAAATACAGTGAGCTCTAAAAAGAGGCTCTGGGCGGGTGCCCTGGCCTTGGGCACTCAGCATCAATTTGCTGTGGCAACCTCAGCCTAGTATAATGACACAGAGCTTACTGTTTTCTCCAGGGGAACTGATCTCTGCCATCTGAAGAGCAGTTGTAATTCAGAGTGATCTCCAGCCCTCCCCTGGAGAATGGCAACAGTAGTTTCCCAGGATGAAATGGTTGGTTTGGAGGGTGGGGTCTATGGCATTATGCCTGTCTGAGGTCCCACCCCTCCACAAACCCCACCTTCTCCAGGCTCCATCCCTCAAATTGCCAGGAATTTGCCAACCTGGAGGTGGCAACCCTATCTCCTTCCCAGCCAACCATCAACCTACCTGTATCTGCCCCTCTGATTTCAGCTTTCTATCTCCCTCCCACACCTGCAGCTTCTACCTAAGAAAACTACAGTCTTTCTCCGCAGTGGGGACCCAAGCAGGAGGGAACTGAACTCAGCAGGGTATAATGACACAGAGTCCACCCTGCAGAGCAGCTATTTTCTTCAGGAGAACTGATCTCTACCATCTGGAGAGCAGTTTTAATTCTGAGTGATATCCAGCCCTCACCTGGAGATTGGCAGCAATGGTCCCCCACGAGGAAATGGCTGGTTTGGAGGGGGGAGTCTATGTCATTGTACCTGTCTGAGGTCCCACCCCTCCTCAAACCCTACCCTATTCGGGCTCCATCCCTCAAATCTCCAGGAGTTGGCAACCCTATCTCTTTCCCAGCCAACCATCAACCTATCATTATCTGCCCCTGATCTCTACCATCTGGAGAGCAGATTTAATTCCGAGTGATCTCCAGCCCTCACTTGGAGACTGGCAGCAGTGGTTCCCCAGGAGGAAAAGTACAGTCTTTCTCCGCAGTGGAGACCAAAGCAGCTTACATCATTCTCCTCTCCCCCTTTTGGTCTGCACAACAGCCCTGTGAGGTAGGATAGGCTGAAAGTCTGTGGATGGTCTGAAATCACCCACTCAACTTTTACAGCAAGAACATGGGTCTGGCAGACCCTGCTCTGAAGCGCTAAGTGCTATGCCTAGGGTAGCCAATCTCCAGGTGGAACCTGAAGATCACCGGGTATCACAACTGAACTTCTCCCCCCCCTTGAGAAAATAACTGCTTTGGAGGATGGGCTTTATAGCATTCTATTTAGCTGAGGCCTTTCCCCTCTCCAAACTCTGGCTTCCTTAGACTCCACCACAGAATATCCAGGAATTTCCCAACCTGTAGCTGGCAACCCTAGTCAGGACTGGCCCCAATGAATTCCCCACAAAGACCTGGTTAGGGCTTCTTTCATTTGCCTTTTTACTTACAGAACCAAGCTTGGTTGCCTAGCAACAGCCACTGAGCAAAAAGTTAGTCCCAAAGGAGCCAAGCAGGAGAAGTGTCTTCATCAGGAGAGACAGCCGTTTATTCTGTGAGGAAAGAGTATTCTAGGCTGTCAGTGGGCAGGGGAGAGGAGCAGACCCATCACTCAGCCAGTGGCACATGAGTACTCTTTGAGTGGCAGTTGATGGGCCAATGGCTGATGGAGCGCACTGCACAGCCAATGGGAGAGCTGGAAATGGCCAATATGTATATGATCAAGGGTGTCAAACTCATTTGTTATGAGGTCCAAATCTGACATAAATGAGACTTTGTTGGGCCGGGCCATGTGTCTCATAAAATGTAATGCCAGGTAGCAGAGATATAAACTTTATAAAGGACACAAACACAAAGGGTTTTTTTACTTAAAATAAAAACTTGCTTAAAACATTAGCACTCTTGCAATATTTTGTTTATTTAACAGTGTCTGATAACTGACGCCTCTTGCTCTGAATTATTACATCAAAATGTCTGTGCTGTTGCAATCTTGAGTATGCTGTTCAGGTGTGTATCTAAAGCTGCAAACCTACAATGATGCAGCAGCAGCAGAACTGGAAGAAGAAGCAGAAGACAGCCAGTTCCACTGCGGGCCTGATAGAAACCCTGTGGGGGCCTAATCTGGCCCCTGGGCCGCATGTTTGACAACCCTATATAAGATGATGGAACGAAAGAGAGAATCCATGTGTTTAATGAGCCTCAGGAAATACAATCACAGTGCATCTTATGGGATCCCTATAAGCCCTTGAGTCCCAGTGAGAAAGCTGTACTACAAATAACATAAATGAATATAGGTAGGAGTCAGGCCCAACAAGTGTCACTGATGTGGCCAGATTTTGTCCCTGGCATCGTGATGTACCCAAATGCTGTGTTATGCATGCACTGAGAGAAGTGCATGGTAGCTCTTAACTTTACATGGGAGAATGTAATTAGAGCTATTTTTATGGTTTATTTGTGTGCCATGTATACAACCTGTAGTATCTGGTTGTGGAGTGTGTTAGGTAATGATAGAAGCAAAGAAAGGTCCTCTGCTTAACCAGAATGATTTTATTTACTGAAGCTTGTGACACATTCCTTAATTTTATAATTCTGTTCCAAAATAGTACTGATTTAAGATGAGTGAGGGTGTGCACTTGTTCATAGTGAGGAGGGATCAGACCGGGTGCATGCTCTCATGCATTCATGTATGTGTGTTTTTGTATGTATACATTCAATATATTACAAACACATTCTGGATGAAGTGATTTCATGTTACAAGTTGGTGTAGCATAGTGGCTAAAGTGTGACGGAGAACGTTTCACGTTCATATTGGTTTGGGTGGGTTTTCCCCCCTTTTAATAAATATTAAATAATAAATAAAAGGGGGGGAAAGAT